AACTTGCATGAGGTCGGCCTCGGAGCCTGGTCCATCCTAGCGTCCCAGTCCCAGATGACTTTCAAAGAAAAGGATAAGGATCCTGTCGACTTTGATTTTATCAGGGTGCCTGTTGCTTTACCTAACAAACAGGCTGCCACTATGTGGCCCGCACTCTGTGCTGGTGAAGGCGGCCTCTGGCCTGGTTTGTCAGATGTCCGCGCAAAGCTGCGAGCGGTCCTGGTGACCTGCGATGCCGCGCCAGCAAACCTCAAGTTACTGGGGCACCTTACGTCAGTGGTGGACGCCAAGACCCTGGTGTTGCCTTTCCTTTGTTTGCAACACAGAACTGGCAACGTCATCGAGCGGGCGACCAAATTGCTTGGGACCCTGACTGGTTCTTATGCAGTTGCCAAGACCTTGAGGTCAGGAGCAGTGGTCCGCAAGCTCACTGCCAATGTGCGAAGCATCCTGGCCCAAAAGCTTGTGGTGGTGGACCAGGTTCCACCAGGCCTGGAGGGGGGAATGGGCCACTGGCCGGGTCGTCGCCAAGAAGATTTTGGAATTGGCTCTTGGATGCGACGACGAGAATGACCAGGCTGGCATTGGTAAGGAGTTCCTCCAGTTCTTTGGTGGCCCATGGACAGGACCAGGGTTTTGTGTTTTTTTTACACTTCTTGTTTGTTTCGGCATGTCCAATCTGGCCTTTGGCCTGGTCATTGTTTGCTCCCTGTAGCCGTTTTGCTGCTCAAAGACAAGGCCCGCCAGTTGCAAAAGCCAGGGCCATGTCGGACGACAAGTCGTTCCTTGAAGCTGTGAGGAGCGAAGGTCTCCAAGCAGCCTTCCACCTGCATGACGCCAGGTTTGACACTTGCAGGGGCCTTTGGCCGGGTCCTAGCATGGTCACAGACCAGGTCTTGAAGTCGAGACTTCAGGCAATGTCCTCTGTCCTGGTGTCCGACACCTACGGCTCAGTGGATGTGGTTGCTTGGGCTCGGGAGGCCTACAACTCAAGGCCAGCGAGTATTGAAAGGTAAACTAGACAGACTATACTATCTTAGGTTAACTAGACAGACTCAAACTAGGCGGTGTTTGTTTGTCAAACAACTGATAGATCAACTAGGTGGGCTATTGGTGGGTTACTGTCATTGTTTCCAGAAGCTGCACCAGGCACCCAATGCATGTCATCCTGGACATGTCAGCGTCCTCCCCAGAATGCTTTGGGAAACTCTGGCTGGGTGGAGAACACGCCTCTGGCGATGTCCACATGTTGCAGAGCCATTGCATCACCATAGTGCTCCCAGCAAGCAGGAAGCCTGCGCCAGCTGAGTCGCTCAACATCAAGGTACTTGATTACGTGGATGGTACTGCTCTCGCCGCCGGCGATGTGAGGCTGGAAGATTTTCTGGCAGTGGCTGACAAGGTCATCGACTACCTCCAGAAAGGGCATGGAATTTTGGTCTGCTGCAAGAATGGGGCGCATAGGAGTGCGACGCTGACCGTCCTCTTGGTGATGAGACTCACCGGGTGGGATGCCATGAGGGCATTCAACTATGTGTCGCAATTGCCTGGCATGCACCAGGGAGGCAGGAAAGGACTAATTGTACAGCCTGGGAGGCACCAGGGAGGCAGGACAGGATTACTTGGAGACCCCCATCAGCTATCGGAAGAAGGCCGCTGAGCTGGGCTTTGAAACCATCGGTTCCAGAGCAAAAAGCATGCCTGGTCCAAAGAAAGTGCCAGGCCAATGCTCTGGGTGGTCATCATATGAGATGGTCGAGCCTGGTCACTCGACCGTGTCAAGTCATGAAATGAGTTCACTGAGCCAGTCAGAGTCGCAGGACACTTCGTCAGGGTCCATCAAGCGAGCACGCTTGACGAGTAAGGGGGTTGCGGATTTTTTCGTGGTGAGCGACGACCTCAAGACACCAGCAGCCAGGGCTCAGAAGCTGAAGGACCTGTGCTCTGAACTGGAAGCATTGGACGCCAAGCTTCTGAGCGCTGTGACCTCTGGCCAGACCTGCCCCAAAAAGCCTGAGCCTGAGCCTCACTCTTCTGCAGCGGCACAGCCGGCGACACAGGAACCAGCTGAGGCCGAGCCAAACGAGGCCATGCCACAGAGGCCGCACGAAGAGGGCAGCGAGGCCACAGAGCCAGCGGCACAGGGACTTAGCGCAGAAGTCAAGGCCGAACCCCAAGACCGTGCCTTGACTGCGCAAAACAGGGCCGCAGCGTTTACATGTCACACAGGGAATCATAGATCAGGGGCTTTTGCTTACATGGTTCGTGAACTGATGGGTATCTTGCATCTTCTTAGTACTGATTTGTAATTTCTTTGGTCTGAACGCGAGCAATCTAGACTTACACTTTAGGTAGCGTGTTTGCAGTGGCCGCAATCAGGCGGCAACGACATGGACGTTGACTATGACCCCGACGACAAGGAGGACGAGGCGAATGAGCCTCCAGCAACTGAGGCCAAACCAGTTGACTTTGCTTCCCTGGCAGCAAAGCAGGAAAGTGAGGTGCGGGAAGAGGTCATGGACCGTGTTTTGGCTCTCTTGGAGCAACAAAAGGTCCAGCGCCAAGCGATGATGGCCCGCCAGGAGGAGGAGCAGCTTCGTGCTAACTGGCAAGACGAAGCGTTCAGGGCGGTGCTTGGAGCAGATCCTCTCAAGGCTTTGCCTTTGTTGGATGAAGCGAATTCAGCCACAATTCTCCAGATGGTGGACGGGAATGGGCTCAACTTGCTCCACAACGCCGTTCGTGTCATGTGCTGGCCGGTCGTCCAGCGACTGATCAACCTCAATCCAGCTGTGGTCGACCAGCTCACCAGTCCACAAGCACGACCAGCGCACTGGAGTGCCCTCATGGTCCTGGTGGATACAAATGCGGTCGGTGACCAGGAAGCATACGGAGCCATTTTGACTATGCTCCTGGAGGCCATGAGCTTGGCCACCTTGGAGGCAAGGGCAGCCAACGGCAATACAGCGTTGCATTTGGCAGCGGGGCAGGGCAATTTCTGGACAATGAGGAAGATCGTGTGGGAGATATACCACAAAGCAAGCGGCAACCAAGCGGCCTTTGGCCTGGTGAGTTCTTTGCTCAACTTGCCTGATCGAAAAGGCGCTGGCTGTGTGACTTGGAAGAACTATTGTAACTTTTTTGAGTATTTTTGGTTTCATATTGCCTTGGTAAAGTTCTTGAAGTAGAGACTCTGAAGACTTACTTGTGTTCCATTGTGTTCTATGGTGTTTCCATGTCAGGGTAAAACTTTGGCAGGTGGACCTTGCCCTTCGCTGCAACATGAATTTGGCCAACTGGCTGCAGAGGCAGTGGAACGCCAAGGCCTTGTTGCCACCGCCTCCTCGCCGTGATGATTGGTATAGTGGCCAGTCTCGCTACTACTGGCGATGATGTGTTTTGGCCACTGGCCTGGTTCTCCAGGCTCTTCTTGGCGGCAACTTGGCGGCGTGCTTTGGCCACTGGCCTGGTTTGCCAGGCTGTCCTGTGTGCTTTTGCCACTAGCCTTTTGCCATGTTTTTTTGGAAAGCATCTGCCGTTGGAGTGGCCTTGTAAGTGGCCAGCCCGTTTTGCAGATCTGTACAACAGGGTCTTCCAGACAACCCTCGCTGAAAAAGATGCGATATTGCCTCACAGCTTCCAGCTTACTAGGGCCCAAGCTAGAGAGATAACAAATAAATCACAGCTCTAACTGCTGACAGGAAGTCAAACTGAAAACATTGAAAACGCCATGAGGTGAGGGTCTACCAACTTACACCAAACCAGCTTGTTTGCTGAACCTCTGTCCCTGACAGGAGTGCCCACACATGTTTGTCAAGGATGCTGCAGCAGCGCTGAGCAGAGCTTAGACACGGCCACTGGCCTGGTTCAACGTCTCTTTTTTGGGTACTATCAGCGTGCCTGCCCTAAACAAATGGACCACAGT